AAGGAGATTCACTCTCAGTTTATGTATAAAAATGTTAATACAAATATTTGACATATAAATATTAAAAACACATATTGGGAAAAGTCCGTTTGTCTGGTCGACAAATCCAAAACCCAAAAGTCTTTCCATTCAGGAGCACATATCCAAGGGTCTCATCTGAAACAAATCTGATCTGTGTGGTTCAGACTGACATTCAAAGATCAGATACAGAACATAGAGACAAAACATCAGATTTGGGTCACTTCAGTCTGAACATAGACTAAGAATCTAGAACATGTGTCCATTCATATAAACGTGTGTCTGTGTATTCGACCTGCACACGTATAATGTGTGAAAAGTTTCACATGAACCAACAACACGACACAACACAGACAGCATCAGCAATCCACAGAGAGAACACCCCTCTGTCACAGAGAGAACACCCCTCTGACACAGAGAGAGAACACCCCTCTGACACACAGAGAGAACACCCTCTGAGAGACACACAGAGAGAACACACACAGAGAGAACACCCCTCTGTCACACACCCCTCTGAACAGAGAGAACACCCCTCTCCAGAGCCCCTCTCACAGAGAGAACACCCCTCTGACACCCTCTCACAGAGAGAACACACAGAGAGAACACCCCCTCTGACACAGAGAGAACACCCCTCTGACACAGAGAGAACACCCCTCTGTCACAGAGAGAACACCCCTCTGTCACAGAGAGAACAGAACACACAGAGAGAACACCCCTCTGACACAGAGAGAACACCCCTCTGCACAGAGAACACCCCTCTCACAGAGAGTCACACAGAGAGAACACCCCTCTGACACACAGAGAGAACACCCCTCTGTCACAGAGAGAACACCCCTCTGACACAGAGAGAACACCCCTCTCACACAGAGAGAACACCCCTCAGAGAGAACACCCCTCACACAGAGAGAACACCCCTCTCACAGAGAGCCTCTCACAGAGAGAACACCCTCTGAACACACAGAGAGAACACCCTCTGACACAGAGAGAACACACACAGAGAGAACACCCCTCTGTCACACAGAGAGAACACCCCTCTGTGACACAGAGAGACACAGAGAGAACACCCCTCTGACACAGAGAGAACACCTCCACAGAGAGAACACCCCTCTGACACACAGAGAGAGACACAGGAGAACACCCCTCTCACAGAGAGAACACACACAGAGAGAACACCCCTCTGTCACAGAGAGAACACCCCTCTGAACACACAGAGAGAACACCCCTCTGAACACCCCTCACACAGAGAGAACACCCCTCTGACACAGAGAGAACACACACACCTCTGACACAGAGAGAACACCCCTCTCACAGAGAGACACACAGAGAGAACACCCCTCTGTCACACAGAGAGAACACCCCTCTGACACAGAGAGAACACACAGAGAGAACACCCCTCTGACACAGAGAGAACACCCCTCTGTCACAGAGACCCCTCTGTCACAGAGAGAACACCCCTCTGTCACACAGAGAGAACACCCCTCTGTCACAGAGAGAACACCCCTCTGTCACACAGAGAGAACACCCCTCTGACACAGAGAGAGAGAGACACACACACAGAGAGAACACCCCTCTACACAGAGAGTCACACAGAGAGAACACCCCTCTGACACAGAGAGAACACCCCTCTGAACACACAGAGAGACACACAGAGAGAACACCCCTCTGACACACAGAGAGAACACCCCTCTCACACAGAGAGACACTGACACAGAGAGAACACCCCTCTGACACAGAGAGAACACCCCTCTGTCACACAGAGAGAACACCCCTCTCACAGAGAGAACACACAGAGAGAACACCCCTCTGTCACAGAGAGAACACCCCTCTGACACAGAGAGAACACCCCTCTGTCACAGAGAGAAACACACAGAGAGAACACCCCTCTAGAGAGACACAGAGAGAACACCCCTCTGTCACACACACAGAGAGAACACCCCTCTAACAGAGAGTCACACAGAGAGAACACCCCTCTGTCACACAGAGAGAACACCCCTCTGTCACACACAGAGAGAACACCCCTCTGACACAGAGAGAACACCCCTCTGACACAGAGAGAACACCCCTCTGTCCCTCTGACACAGAGAGAACACCCCTCTGACACACAGAGAGAACACCCCTCTGTCACACAGAGAGAACACCCCTCTGTCACAGAGAGAACACCCCTCTGTCACACACCCTCTGTCACAGAGAGAACACCCCTCTGAACACACAGAGAGAACACCCCTCTGTCACACAGAGAGTCACAGAGAGAACACCCCTCTGTCACAGAGAGAACACCCTCTGTCACAGAGAGAACACCCCTCTGACACACAGAGAGAACACCCCTCTGACACAGAGAGAACACCCCTCTAGAGTCACACAGAGAGAACACCCCTCTCACAGAGAGAACACCCCTCTGACACACAGAGAGAACACCCCTCTGAACACCCCTCTCACACACCCTCTGACACAGAGAGAACACCCCTCTGACACAGAGAGAACACCCCTCTGACACAGAGAGAACACCCCTCTGACACAGGGAGAACACTCATATTCCACTGAGTCAAGTCCTTTAGTCCAACAGAAACTGAACCACATCAGACACAAGGAAAGAACTGTTTTTTGAGCACTTAGTTTATGCAAATGAGGCATGTGGTTTTAAGTTTTGTTTCTGTAAAACGTAAACAAATGTGCTCAAAGTTGAGTGGACAGAGAAGAACTGCAGAGGCATGTGGGTCCAGTCAAGTGTTAACGGAGGGAAACAGGGTCAGATTTTTGACATTCAAATGTCTCTTATTCAGAAACTAGAGGAACTATTGAAATAAGTAAAGTATCAGAATGTAGGAAAGAGTTACACTCCAACAGGGTCAAGTTAAACCTGTGAGATTCTTCCAAGTTGTTGACAAAAAATTAAAAAACTCATGTCGGTAACGAAGGGAATGAAATATGCAGCACTTTTTGTTCAATAAATCCAAACAGTGATAACTCTTGGTTCTCACTTACATATCCTTAACAAACTGGTTTGAATATTTGCTTCATATAGTTTTCTACCATATGGTACAAGATTAGGTTGAAAAACCTCTGACTTTTTGAGTCATGAGATTTTTTATTAAGAAAAGGTTCATGGTAAACGGAGGGAAAAGTAACGGAAGGGAAAATTGTACAAAGCAAGTAGAAGGTGCAGGATTTTACATCATTTGTTGCTTTTTTCTTCTGAATACTTTAATATTACTTCAAAATGAAAGGAAACTATTTCTATAAAATATGTCAGTCCTTCCAAGAACATTTTTATCATTTTAAATACTTTTTTTTTTTTAAATCCTGTCCCTTCATCAACAGTTCAAAGATGGAATAACACAAGATATGATGAAATACATCCATTTATTTACATGATTTGCAGGTCTTTGAAATTTGGGAAAGAAGTTTAGAACCAAAAATGGTACAGAAAAAAGGTCAACAGTTTGATAAACTCGAGTACATATGTATCTGTTCAATACAGTTTTATATCAGATGAATTAACTTGAATTTTTGGCCTTGTTGTTTACTTCTGCTTGACTGTGTGGACACAGATCGTTTCTGAAACGCTGATAAGTGGATTCGTTTTAGTGTAAACCGGGTCTATGATGGATTATGTGAAAATTCTTTCCCAAACTGAGACTTTTTAACTTTCTGTTTTAGACGCTGAAGTTCATCAAACACTTCTGCTTTCCCAGAATCACATGATAAAACGCTGACACGGCTGAAATGGAGAAATCACAGCACAGTGTCCACTTCTGCTTTTTATTTAAAAAACGATATTTGAAGGTTTGACCCCAAAACACTGATCAGAGTTTAGTGTTTGGGGTTAATAAGTGTGTCCTTCTTTCATTTGTTTTTCAAATTAAAACCAAAAATAAGAAAATGAAAAAAACCAAAAACGATTTTCTTCATTATTTCTCTCCAAAACCAAAATAGAAAAAACAGATAATGATTTGTTTCTTCAGTTTGGTTTTGTGTTTAAATGAAAAATGGAAAAAACGGAAAACAGGACTGAACAGGACTAAACCAGGACTAAACCAGGACTAAACCAGGACTTTTTTTTTTTTATGTTTGATTGATTAAATAAATAAATACATAAAAATCATTTATTTATTTATATATTTATGTCTGTATTTAGTTAGTTATTTGTTACACTCTGTGCCGGATTTTACTCTCACAGATGAACCAGGACCTGGTGTCAACATAGTCCCGCTCTAGTCCAGCTTTAGTCCCGCGCTAGTCTCGCTCTGGTCTGGTTTTAGTCTCGTTCTGGTTCTGGTTTTAGTCTCGTTCTGGTCTGGTTCTGGTCTGGTTTTAGTCTCGCTCTGGTCTGGTTCTGGTCTGGTTTTAGTCTCGCTCTGGTTCGGTTTTAGTCTCGCTCTGGTCTGGTTCTGGGCTGGTTTTAGTCTCGCTCTGGGGCTGTTTAATCGCATCAGCAGCAGATGACTGTCCTCATCACTCACACTCAGGCACCGAGATCGATCTTCTCTCTCCTCCTTCTCTCTCTCTTCTCTTGCTTCTGTCTCTTTTCTCTATAGTCTCTCTCTCTCTCTCTTCTCCTCTTTCTTCATCCTCTCTTCCTCTCACGCTCCTCTCTCACTTTCTCCATTCATCCCCTGACTCTTTCTGACACCCCCCTCCCTCCTCTTCCTCTCCTCCCCCCTCCCTCTCTCCTCCTCCCTCTCCTCTTTCACCTCCTCTCTCTCCTCCTCCTCCCCCCTCCTCCTCCCCTCCTCCCTCCTCCTCCTCCCTCTCTCTTTTCTTCTCCTCACCCTCGCCCCTCGTCTCTCTCCTCTCTCTCTCTTTCATCCTCCCTCTCTCTCCTCCCTCCTCCCCTCCTCCCTCTCCTCCTCTCCTCTCTCTCCTCCTCTCTCCTCTCTCTCCTCTCCTCCCTCCTCTCCTCCCCCCTCCCTCCCCCTCCTCCCCCCCCCCTCCCCCTCCCCCTCTCTCTCTCTCTCTCTCCGGTGCGCGCGGGCCCGGGAGCCGCAGACTCGGTGCTGGTGCATCGCGGAGCCGCAGACCGGAGCGGACCGGAGCAGAGGGAGGAGCGGGTGCATGGCGCGGACAGAAGCCGCAGCAGAAGCAGCAGGAGCCGGGCGCTGAGTCCGAAGCATGCCCCAGCGCAGCCATGACCTGCTCGGCGTCAGATAGCGAGAAGATCGTCATCAACTGCGGCGGCATCCGGCACGAGACCTACCGGAGCACCCTGAAGACGCTGCCGGGCACGCGCCTGTCCTGGCTCACGGAGCCCGACGCCTTCAGCAACTTCGACTACGACCCGAAGACCGACGAGTTCTTCTTCGACCGGCATCCCGCCACCTTCGCCTTCATCCTCAACTACTACCGCACCGGGAAACTGCACTGTCCCAACGACGTGTGCGGCCCGCTCTTCGAGGATGAGCTCGCGTTCTGGGGCATCGACGAGACGGACGTGGAGGCGTGCTGCTGGATGAACTACCGGCAGCACCGAGACGCGGAGGAGGCGCTGGACAGTTTCGAGACGCCCGAGCCGGACGAGCCCGAGAACGACCCGGCGCTGACCGGAGGCGCGGACGGGGACCTGAAGCGGCTGTGCGTGCAGGATGACCGGCGCAGGCCCACGTGGTGGGAGGTGTGGCAGCCGCGCATGTGGGCGCTTTTTGAGGACCCCTACTCGTCCAAGTACGCCCGGGTGAGTGCGCCCGGGAGCGGGCACTGCGGCACCACTCTGCCCCACACTCACCTCTGCCTGTCCCTGTCCCTCTGTCCCCTGTCCCCCGTCCCCCTGTCCCTGTCCCTCTGTCCCTGTCCCTGTCCCTGTCCACACCGGAGCTCCTCTCCTCACGGGCTTCACTCTGTCCCTGTGAGGTTCAGTTCCTCCGCGCTCTGTCCCGGCGGGACTCTGTCTCCAACCCCGGAGCTCCGTCCTCATGTTCTGCTGTTCTTTCCCCGACTCTGTCTCCAGTTCTGTCTCTATAGGACTGTCCCTGTCCCCGGCTATGTCCCCAACTCTGTCCCCGTCCCTGTCCCCGTCCATTGTCTCTGCAAAACCGTCTCTGTCCCCGGCTCTTTCCCTGTTCCGTGTAGTTCTTTCTCTGGCTTTGTCCCCAGCTCTGTCGCGGTCCCTGTCCTTGCAGGACTGTCCCTGTCTCTGTCTCTGTCCCCGTCCTGTCTCTGTCTCTGTCTGTCCCTGTCTCTGTCTCTGTCTCTGTCCCTGTAGGACGGTCCTGTCTCTGTCTCTGTCCCTGTAGGACGGTCTTGTCCTCGGTGCTGCTGCAGTGTGTTTTTGCTTTTACAGCACAAAGCGCAGCTGTTGTCGCAGTGACTCGCGCTGCGTCCCTCCGCGCTGCATCAGCCTCAGCCGAGTGTTTCTCTCTTTCCTCTCTTTCCTTTCTTCTCTTTCTCCTCTGTCTTTCTCTCCTCTCTCTCTTCTCTCTTTCCTCTGTCTGTACATCTGAGCCGCTCGTGCCCGCAGTGCAGTGTGGGACATTCTGTATGTACAGTACACTGTTTGTCAGTGCGCGGTGCGTCTCTGCGGCGCGGTGCGGCGCGGTGCGCGGGCGCAGGTCTGTAGTTCGAGCGCGCGGGTTGTGCGCACCGCAGTGTCCCGCGTGCCGCCGCTCCGGGCCTCACGCGCACACGCGCACACATATGCATTTACACGCGCACGCGCACACGCGCTCCTGCAGCGGAGCAGCGCTCAGACCTGGATCCCCCTGAATCCTCAAACACACAGAGGCTGTGGTTCTGTTCCCACGGGCCCAGACACAAGTTTTCATTAGAACATGGCGATGTACAGCGCTGTGTGCTCAGTCCAAACCTCATCTATACTCTGCCCCTGTGTCCTTGAGCAGCACACTTTCCTCACACATCCTTCTGCAGTCTGAGTGCAGAGTTTAAACTGTAGAACATCTGCGTCTGAAATCAGTGACACTGATTCATTTTACTCAAACCCACCAGTGTAAAAGTTAGTGGTTCAATCTCTCCAGTTGGTGCAGGCTGCTGTTGTGCCTTTGAGCAAGACTCTTTACATGCTGCTGTATGAGTTGTAAATAAACACAAAATCACTTATTTGGACGGTTCTTTTACTCTTAGATGTTTGAATAATCCTGTGTCGTAAGTAAATCTTTATTTATCCAGCGCTTTTCACAGACATGTTCTGTCCCCAGAGACGCTTTACACAGCATTATTCAGCATTATTCATTCAGCATTCATTCATTCATTCACTCTATACCCTGGTGATGGTAAGCTACTCCTAAGTCGTCCTGCGCGTGAGGCTTTAGCCCTCACAAAACGTCTGTTTTCACCCACCCCCTATCCCCGCCCACCGCCCCGCGCTCAGTCTGGAGCAAACGCAAACGTCCAAACTGCTGTGCGGGCAGGTTTTTTCTCTTAATAGCAAGAAAAGGAACAGTGTCTTCTTCACTTTTATGATGTCATCAGAACACCGCTGCTGTAGTGAACGTGCCAGTGTGTGCTGCTGCTGCCGCTGTGTCCCTGGGCAAGACACTTTAACCCCCCCCCCCCCCGTCTGTGAGAGTGAGTTCTCTTCATGATCATCTGGTAGTTGATTAGACTGGTCTTATTCAGTCACAGAAGGAAATTCAGCGATCTAAAAGGAAGAAGAGAAGAGACAGAAGAGAGAGAAAGGAGAGAGAGACTGAGGAAGGAGAGAATGGAGAGAACAGAGAGACAGAGGGAGGTGCAGATAGAGCGATGGGGGGGGGGGGAGTAGAGAGACAGAGAGAAAGGAGGGAGAGATTGCGTCTCGTTTCGCTGTGGCTCTTGTGTGCAAACTCTGCAATAGTTCAACCTCTGGCACGGGGGGCAGAAGGGGGCGTGTCTTATGTCAGAGGGGGCGTGGCCTCGTGCGCTGGGGGCGGGGTCAGGGCAGCAGGGGGGCTGACACAGAGGTGACTTTGAGAGAGTGTTGCAGTGGGCAGTTTTCGGTGCCAGGTCCGGGTCCGGGCTCGGATCAGGGCACAGCGACAGAGAGACGGAAAAAAAAACATGACACGATGGAACTTTTACGGCCAAATAACTCGACTAAAATAAATGCGCTGTTTTTATTGTGCTGAGAAACGTAGAAAATCCAATCCAACGTTTTTTGTGTAGCGGATTTTCTAAACACGACGGTTTCGAAAGTGTTTCACAGAGCAAAACATTTCACTTTAAAACGTCAGCAGTGTTGGGGAGTAACAGATTACAAGTACCAGAGTTAAGTAATCAGAGTACAAATGATGAGTAACTGTATTCAGTTACAGTTACTGTTTCAGTGAGTGGTAATTGGATTACAGTTACTTTGTTGAAATAAATGGATTAAACAAAGGGATTTTCCTGTTTTCACATTTTGGGCTAAACCAGAACTAAACCAGGACTAAACCAGAACTAAACCAGGTCTAAACCAGGACTAAAACCAGGTCTAAACTAGAACTAAACCAGGTCTAAACCAGGACTAAACCAGGACTAAAACCAGGTCTAAACCAGGTCTAAAACCAGGACTAAACCAGGATTTAACAGGACTAAACGATCAATAATATTTTTAATTTGGTTCAGTAAAGTTTGGTCTTTTCATTTTCTTTTATCAGACAAAACTTCTTATGTGAAGATTTCCTCGTCTTTGTTTCTCTACAACAAATCAAGTAATCCAAAGTATTCAGATTACATTACTCACCTAAAGTTATTTAATGGATTCTGTTACAAACTACATTCTGGGGCATGTAATCTGTAATCTGTAGGGGATTACATTTTAAAAGTCACCTTCCCAACACTGTGAAGGGAATGAAATATGCAGCACTTTTTGGTCAATAAATCCAAACAGTGATAACTCTTGGTTCTCACTTACATATCCTTAACAAACTGGTTTGAATATTTGCTTCATATAGTTTTCTACCATATGGAACAAGATTAGGTTGAAAAACCTCTTACTTTTTGACTCATGAGATTTTTTTATTAAGAAAGTTCATGGTAACGGAGGGAAAAGTAACGGAGGGAAAATTGTACAAACAAATAGAAGGTGCAGGATTTTTACATCATTTGTCACTTTTTTCTTCCTGAATACTTTAATATTACTTCAAAATGAAAGGAAACTATTTCTATAAAATATGTCAGTCCTTCCAAGAACATTTTTATCATTTTAAATACATAAAAAAAAAAAAATCATGTACCTTCATCAACAGTTCAAAGATCGAATAACACAAGATATGATGAAATACATCCATTTATTTACAGCAGAGGTGCTCAATATGTTGATCCCGATCTACCAGTCGATCACCAAGGTCGTGTGGGTAGATCGCCGTGTCTCGTCTCGGACTCGTGTTTGGACTCGGTCTTGTCTCTCACTCGAGGTCTGACACTCAACAAGTGTGATCATATTTCATTCCGGCCGCTGCTGTTGGTAATAAACTTGTAGCGGGTGCAGGAGCGTGTGGGGCGTCTCAGTTCAGCCTGTGCGCTCATTTGAAACCCGCGGAGACTCTACGGCGCATCACAAACACACACGCTCCCTATGCACGGCTCGTCTGCGACAGCGTGTGCCCTCGTGTACCAGCGTGCATCACAGGGCAGGTTCAACTTCCTAAACATCCTACCTGTCCATCTGCCTCACGTCAGCACGCCGCCCCTCGCCTTTTCACGCTCTCGCTCCTTCCTGCGTACAGCGAACACAAGCCCCTCCCACAGTGCGGCTGATTAGAAGAGCAAGACCAAACGTGAAGCAAAAACCAGTCTAAATTTGTGTTCCAGTGTTGGCACAAAGCAGGTCTACAGCATAGAGCGGATCTACAGAACAGACCTACTGCCACATTTGGCTGAAGTTTGTCTAACAAAAGTGACAAATGCATCTGTGTTTGTCACGATGTGCGTTTGGTTTGGTAAACGTGCAGAGGCTGGTAAATATCACTGCAAAACCAGAAAAGAATGAAACTCCAGTTTGGAACTTTAAAAAACAGGTTTAAAAATCTTCCTTCACTTTTTTCACAGTTTTGTGTAAAGTGTCAGAGGAAGTTCTCTTAAAGAAGAGGTTCTCAAACTGTGGGGGAGGGTCCAAAAAAGGGGCACAGAGTGTTTCAGTGCAGTTTGTTTGGCTTTGTATTAGGAAGATCATTTTGACTTGGTCATTTTGTAAGTAACTCACATGATGAAAAAGTGTGAACACCTCTGGTTTACATGATTTTTGTGTCTTTGAAATTTGGGAAATAATTTTTGTTCCATGTTTCATTCATGGTCTGTTTAAAACGGATGGAACTTTAGAACCAAAAATGGTACAGAAAAAAGGTCAACAGTTTGATAAACTAGAGTACATATGTATCTGTTCAATACATTTTTATATCAGATGAATTAACTTGAATTTTTGGCCTTGTTGTTTACTTCTGCTTGACCGGGCCCAGGTGCATCATGGGAGGGTGGAGTGGAGCTAAACAGTTTTTTGACCTCCTGCCACTTGTGCGTTAAAGTTCCTCTTTTTTAATTGTATTTGTTTGTTCTAATAATGTGAATCCTCAGTAAAGAGTTTTTAAACCGCACTTGGATCGTTCTCTGTGGATTCTTTAGATTTTTGAGGCATTTTTAAAAAGTGGAACAAGCTGCTCAAAGCGTCGACTCTGACTTCACAAATGTTTGAACTTTACAACTGTCACTAAAACAATGCGAAAAGTTTGTTGTTTTCGATCGCTTCTGCTGACGTCTCTTGAG